AGGAGTGGCAGTGGGACTAAGTGAGTGATAGGCAAGAGAAACCAGAGGCCTGCTGTTGGCCTGAGATCTAACCTCAGAAGTTACTCAAGAAAGACTGATGCCTGAAAAAAGCTGGTTTGTGGCTATCACAGAGTTCCACTTAGAGTGGTCATTGTTTGAATGCACAGGAATAACCTGGGAGGTCGATCGTCATCCACTGACTGCACAGCTGTCTTTGAAATAAAACCTTCTCATTGACTCTTCTTATGGCCCTTAATGACTTCCTTGGTAGGGGTATAAATTGATTTTGATCTAGTAAATTTTTGTGTGTCCTACCTCTTTACCCCATTATCTCAAGATTCTGGTTAATTTGACATTAAGAGTTGATTCATCCATTGATGGACATTTTGGAGAAGAGGCTTTGGATATCTAGAGAAGTAATGAAAAAATCCTTGGTCAAATGATTTATTTTTTTTTAATTTTATTTTTTGAGATAGGGTCTTACTCTATAGCTCAGTTCAGGCTGGCCTTGAACTCAGGACAATCCTCCTGCCTCAGCCTCCTGAGTGCTAGTATTACAGGTGTGTGCCGCCACGCCCAGCTTCAAATGATATTCTGCTGAGTGAATTTATTTATACAGTTTACTAGCTTTATTCCTGATTGATTGATTGATTTTGAGACAGGGTCTTTCTATGTAGTTTGGGCTGGCTTTGAACTCACTATGTTGCTCAGGCTGCCCTCATGCTCATGGCAGTCTGCCTGCCTCAGTTTCCCAAGTGCTGAGAATGCAGGTGTGCACCACCACAGCCAGCTGTTATTCTACTTTTCGTTACTCATCTTGAATAACTGGTTGCATTAAGAGTATGGACAGCAGCCAAAAATCCAACCAAGATCAGCTGGATGAAAGTTCAGCAATGTTATTGGAATCCAGTTTTTTTTTAAAAAAAAAAAATAAGCGATAGGAATTCAACTTATTGTTGGAGGCTGAGAGTCTACCATCAATTTGTTAACGAGTGAGAATTCTCTTCTGGCTGGTAGTCAGCTGACCTCTCTCTGTGTCTTCATGTAGGCTGGGGTGGGCCAGAGGGGAAGCAAGGTCTGTCATCTCTTTTTATAAGCACACTAATTTAATCACGAGGGCCTCACCCTCGAGACCGCATCTGAACCTGATTACCTCCCAAAGGCCACATCTCCAAATGCCATCATCTTGGAGGTTTATGGCTTCAACATACAAATTTTGAGGGCAGGACACAGTTCATTCCATACTATTATCTAAAATATATTTTCTAGAGTTAGAAGAATCATTTAACATCATCTGGAAATAGTGGAACAATATGATTACATTGGTATTTTAAGATTCATTTCATGATGATGTGGTAGTAATTTGGAGAACAGAAAAGTGAGAACAATTTGGAGTTTAGTACAGATGTATAGGTATAAAATGGACCTGATCCTAGAAGGTGGTGCTGATGTAGAGGTAGGGGCTTAGTAGGAGTAGAAATAAAAGATGGTTAGAATGAGCAATACTTTATAATTTATTTAGAATTACTTACAAGGGACTGTGACTTAATTTGATAAGTGGAAGAGACTTGAACAAGTTTTTTAAAAAAGAAAAATGAATGCAGGGGATTTAGCTCAGTGGTTCCGCCACCTGCCTTGCAAGCAGGAGGACCAGAGTTCAATCCCTGGTACCAAAAATAAATAAAGAAAAGTGAAGAAAAAGTGAATCCAATGAGCCACTTTAATGCATTTTTAGGGTCTAAGCAATAGCACCTTTATCAGAAACAGAGATGCATTAAGTCACAGTTCTGTTGGAGAGATAATAGAACTAGAATTTAGGAATCATGCATTTTAGGGTTATCTGCAAAACTTCCAGTAGTATAAAACTTTTGGGGCTTTAAAATATATCCTCAGATATATCTGATGGCCATATTCTTAACGTTATCTTTTGACTTTATGGTATCAGAGAATATTAACAATTTTAATTTAGAATTTCTTCTTTAGAGAGAAGGCATACATAATAGAATACCTAGAATGTCATTACTAAAACATGGAAGTGGTTTAGGAAGGTTTGATTTGGGTAGAGGTTTGTCTTAGTTACGTTTTACCCGATGATCAAAGTTAAGGGAGGAAAGGTTTATGTAGCTCACAGTTTGTAGAGATTTGTCCATAATTGGCTGGTTCCAAGGAAGGATGGCATTGCAGAGGAGAAACAGTTTGTGTCGAGCAGAAGGTAGCAAAGCAGCAAGGGATCTTAACAGCATCTTTCTGCCCCTTTTATGTTGTATCTAAGCTACCAGGATTAGGATGGTGCCAGACCAGTCACCGGACTGATTTAGTAATCACACGCCCTTAATCCCAGCATCACACACTCTGGATTTAGCCACCTCTGAAAAAGCCCGACTATGACTATGAGTCTTTAGGGGGACATCTAGACACAAGCCGTAATAAAGGTTCTTCCTTGGGACACCTGGTAAAGCCTGGAGGCATTTTTGGTTGTCACAACTGGGGGATTGCAACTGGTGATAAAGTGAATCCAGTGTAAAGGAAAGACGTCAAGATACCCCTAAGCATCCTGCTATGTACCTGAAAGCTACCCACATAAAAAACTACCTGGTTTAAAATGTCAGAAGTGCTTAAGTTGAGAAACACTTGGCTAGTGTGATATTTATTATCTTGGGGTTTGGCAATTGAATATAGACAGATTAAACCTATGTTAGTTGACTCCAAAGACCAGTGTTTTCAGATTTGCTTCACTTTTTTCAGACATTGCATATAGACCATTTACTTGATCTCCCCCCCCACCCCCTTTACTGGTACTGGAAATTGAACCCAGGGCCTATGCACTGAGCTACATTGTCAAGTCTTTTTCATTTTGAGACAAGGTCTCACTAAATTGCTAAATTGTCCAGACTGCTCGAACTTGTAGTCTTCCTTCCTCAGCCTCCCAGAATGCTAGGTTTATAGGTGTGTACCACAGTGGGCTGGCTTTGATCTTATTTTTGTTGTTATTTTTTTGTTTTTTCGAGACAGTCTTGCTGTGTAGTTCAGGTTGGTCTAGAAATCACTATGTAGGCCAGACTGGCCTCAAACTCACAGTGATCTTCCTCTCTCAGCCTTCTGAGTGCTGGGATTACAGGGGTGTGCCACCATGCCTGGCTGATCTGAATTTTGAAGTTTTAAATCATACTGTTTTTTTACATACCAGACTGTAAGCTTCATGCATTCCCCACTCTCTACTTAGTACCTGACCTTACTCTACTTACTCTCTACATAGTACCTGACCAGTGTTAACAAACAAAATATATAGTAAGTGAGGAAAATAATAATTTTATTGTTTAATATTTTTAGTTGACTTCTAAAGTGATATAAGAATAAATAATATCTGTATGTTCTAAAATGTAATACTGATATTCTAATTAAAATGAATTTAATCTTTATAGATTGGGTTATCTGGTTAGAAGAGTCCAGTTGGGCTACAATGATTATTGACATGTTTTCAGAAATCAGTGAGTTATGGACCATGGTTCAAAGTGCTTACATTTTGTTCACTTCAGACCAGTGTTTTTCAGACCACTTGTAGTGACTCATTAATGAGTCTTGATTTTGTGGATCACGGTCAATTTAAGAAAAATGAAGTAGAAAATACTAGAATTTATCAAATGTAGCAAAGGCAGTTGTTATTTATATATAATGTCTGGCATAGTTTGATTTTTTTTTCCCCTTTTTGATACTGGGAATTGAACCCGGGGTCTTCATACTGGGCTACATTCCCAATCTTGTTTTTAAATTTGAGATGGAATCTTGCTAAGACTCACGAAATTGAGAAGGCTGGGCTTAAACTTGTGATCCTCCTGGTTTAGCCTCCCAGAGTGTTGGAATTATGGGCATGCACCACTATGCCAAGCCTGGTCAAAACTGTTTGTGAAAAAAGCTAGCAACCTTAAATCTTCTAATAGCCTACAGAATTTCTGGTAAGAGTAAATAATAGAAACCATAGAAATATTGAAGTATAATCAGTTTTATAAATACAGGCTCTTACTAGTGAAAGTTGTAATTTATTAGATTATTCAACAAATTCTATATTTGGCGAGCATCTGTGTTGTGCAGGCACTATTCTTTGTCAATAAAAGATATAGTCCTTGCCCCTTGGAATTTATCTTGTACTGAATGGACAAGAAAGAATCAAGATAAATGAGTTAAGTTTATAATGTGATAAATGGTTATATGACTTGAAGGTGAAAGAAAGAGGAATGAGATTGATAATACAAATTAGAGGTTGGCTGAAATATTTGAGGATAACCCTGAGAAGGGTGCTTGGAACAACAGAGTCCTGAAAGTGGTGAGGAGCCGGCCATGTAGGTATCTGGGCATATAGGTAGAAACAGCAAATACAAGGGTCCTAAGCAAGGTAAAGGGTTTAGTGTGCTCATAAAATAGCGAGGGAATCGGGCATGGTGCTGCATGCTTGTAATCCCAGCATTTGTGAGGTTGAGGCAGGAGGATTGCTGCAAGTTCAAGGCCACCCTGGGCTACATAGTGAGTTCAAGGCTAGCCTGAACTACAATAGTCAGACTGTCTCAAAAAACCAAAAATCAAAACAAAGAAACAAAACTGAAATACACTTAAAAGTAAAAATCTTGCTAAAGAAGATATAGTCTGTGGCAGACTGAGGATTCCCGTTTAATCTCCAACTTCAAAGCCCATGTTTTTAAACACTGCACTGTGCTGTCTTTGTAAAAATACTTGTCCTTTCCATATGATTTGACCTTGATTAATTGCTAGAGGATTTTTTTCGAGTGCAAGAGATTATAATCAGTTTAGGGCAAAGCTGTGAAACTCATTCTGGATCACAGAAACTATTTTTTTAGCATAAATTTTAAGTTGCTATTTATTCTCCTTGAGTCTTAGCGTCTTTGTTTGTAAATTAAGGATGTTTATAATTACCTCAGAGTTTTGGAAAATTAAATAAGATAATGTATTTTTGTATATTTACTGATATGTAGTGTGTTTGTACTTAGGTGGCAGATGATATAAAGGAAGCACTGGACTTGTGGCCACACCATTCAAGAATAGAAAAATTAGAAAATGGAACAACCATGTTTGTTACGTGAAGAACTAGACCCAGAACCAGAACCACAAAAAAGTGCAAAAGAAACCAAACAAATGGATGATGAAGATACCGAACTCATCTTTGTTGGGGTGGAACATGTAAATGAAGATGCTGAGCTGATCTTTGTTGGAGTGACATCAAATGCAAAACCAGTTGTTTCAAACATTTTAAACAGAGTCACCCCAGGTTCGGGTTCAAGGAGAAAAAAGTGTGGTCGTCTCAGAAAAAATACTGCTCATAGATTGCAACCTACGAGTCATGTGGCCTCTCCATCAGAAACAGTGACTGTCTTGTCAGATTCTCCATCTGAATCAAGATCAACAGATAGTCCTATTATTATTGAACCTTTGCCTGAACCTGATTGTAAAAATAGTTCTTCACAAGTTGTGCCTAGTAGCTCTTCACAGTTAGGTTCTCCTTTGGTTGCATTAACAAGTTCATTGCATCATCCAGTAAAAACAGCACTTTCAGTAGGAGAAATGAATGAAAGTCAGTGTGTATCAAAGCGATGTTCTACTTCTGAAGTAAATATCATAAATTCTAAAAGTCCTAAACTCAGTAATGGAATAGTAGGAGGAATTTCTTCAGCTTTGTCTGCTTCAGATATTTCTCGTACAGTGAATCTTCAGCAAAGTATACCCTCAAATGATGTTCATACCTCATTAAGCCATGTTCAGAATATAGCACCTTTTCCAGCAGCTTTTCCAAAGGACAGTGTCCATTTCAGGCCTACAAATGTAAATCCTGATATGGAAAATGGACTGGCAAAAATTGCAAGTCCAACAAGTCAAAACAAGACCTTTGATCCCAAGACAGGAACTCTGATCCTGTTACTTAGTGACTTTTACTATGGACAGCATAAAGGAGATGAGCAGCCAGAACAGAAGACTCACTCAACCTTTAAATGCCTCAGCTGCTTGAAAGTTCTGAAAAATGTTAAGTTTATGAATCACATGAAGCACCATTTCGAACTTGAGAAGCAGAGAGGTGACAGCTGGGAAAACCACACCACCTGCCAGCACTGCTATCGGCAGTTTCCTACTCCCTTCCAGCTGCAACGTCACATTGCAAGTGTACACACTACTCAGGAGGAGCCTTTTGCTGTCTGTAAAATCTGTGAGTTGTCATTTGAAACAGATCAGGTTCTCTTACAACACATGAAGGACAATCATAAACCTGGAGAAATGCCCTATGTGTGCCAGCTTTGCAATTATAGATCATCGGCCTTTGGTGATGTGGAAACACATTTTAGAATATGCCATGAAAACACTAAGAATTTACTGTGTCTGTTTTGTCTCAAAATTTTCAAAACTGCAGCACCATATGTATGTCATTATAGGCGACACTGGGCAAAGAGTATTCACCAGTGTTCTAAATGTCGGCTTCAGTTTTTAACTTTTAAGGAGAAAATGGAACATAAGACCCGGTGTCATCAGATGTTTAAGAAGCCTGAGCAACTAGAAGGATTGCCTCCTGAAACGAAAATTGTTATTCAGGTGTCACTGGGACCTAGTCAACCAGACTCAGTGAAAGTAGCATCTATTACTGTGAGCACAATTGAGCCTGAACCATCTCCCCGCAAGTCTAAAAGCAGAATTCCAAAAAAACCCCATTAATTTTAGTTCTGTTAAACAAAAACAGGTTTCGATCCAAAGCAAAAACCCCTGTAAAAACAAAAATATAAATCATCCATTATTCAGTAGCACCAAAAATAACGAAACAAATGAGATTTTTAGAAAAATTTAGTTTTTGGTTTTTTGAGACAGGGTCTTACTGTGAACTCACTGTGTAGCCCAGGTTGCCCTTGAACTCACAGTGATCCTTCTGGCACAGCCTGCCAAGGAGGATAATGCAGTTTTGTTTTGTGGTTTTTTTTTTCTTTGGTGTTGGGGATAAACCCAGGACTTCACATGTTTGAGAAGTGCTCTGCTACTGAGCCACATTCTTGGCTACTACAGTATTGTTCAATATGAATTTTGTGGTATTTGTTACTTAAAATATATTACCTGGTTTTCATATTAACTGTCTGATTGAATACATGAAAGATGTTTGTGTGTATGTTTGAGAGAAAACAAAAGGGGAAAATTATTTATTATTGGGTATTCATATTACTCTTAACCTTGAAAACTTTTATATACAGAATTTGTAATTTTTAAAATGTTTAATTTTATTTTTCATTGTTTTCCTTCTATTAGAGTTTTTAAAAAAATAAATTCAGAATGGCTTTGTTATGTCCTGGCCCTTGAACTCCCAGAAGTGCCTCTGTGGTGCTGCCATAAAATAACTCCGTTCCAAAATCTTGTATGTGGACTTGAAGAAGCTATGGCATGAATGGAAACCAGGAGGGCAGAGGTTAAGGAAGGAAGAACAGTGGTTCCTTGTCCCACTTAATGATAAGAACACATTTACTCCAATGTTGGGGCCAAGGTAGAAAGAAAACTGCCTTAGAGTATTTTTGCTTAACAAAAGTACAACCAGGGAAGCAAAACGATTCTAACAAAATGCCTGGATTTGTTAAAAGTACTCCTGCAGACTTAAACAGCTACTGTGTTTCCTTGGCTTCATATGAAGAAGCAGCAGCAATTCTGTTGAGTGGTCTAAAGGGAAATTGGACTCATTCTCTCTCCTTTCCCTTCTGGCTAGCCATTAGCAGATAGCTGGGTATGAAGTGGCTATACATATACCAGCAAAGCATGTTACATTTCCCAAAAGAAGGAAGCTCTGGTATCCAGAGTTTAAATTGTACTGGACTCATAATTTTAACTGAAAAGGGCCAAACAAATGGTATCTTCTGGTTAATGGACTGGGCTAAATTTAGTTCTCCCACTGTTAAGCTAGAGTGGGGGCTTGTCCAAGAACAGGGTACAGTAGATAAAAATAGCCCAGAATACTGGTTAAAATTAAGTCCATTGCAGAACTTTTACTTCTATTTTTTAGTACATGTGCATCTTACCCTAGTTGAACACAAAATGTATGGAGTTTTGTATCTTGCCCTGGACATGAGTGTACAGCTAATAGTTTAATAGTTTTTCTTTTGTGTGTGTATAACTTCCCAAGTGATCACACTGATACTGTTTGGGTCTTACTTGAAGCACTTTAGTGTGCAAGAAATATTCTATCTATTGTTAACTTTAAGACTTAATAAGTTTTACAGTTAATACCTTTATGTAATATATCCTATTATTTATCCTGTCACTATATCATAGAGGAACCTTTTTTCCTTGCCTTCCCCAGGAGCTTTTCCACAGAACTGTGGCATGCCCTGTGAATATTGGTTCCTAAACATTGGTGAACTTTGGCTGCTTCTGTGAATTCTTAGGATTGTCTACTTGGGTCTGCTCTAGTGCTGTTCTTTGTTCTTCTGCCTTCAACCTAGATGCCCACCAGTCAAGATTCTGGTATCCTGGCTGTAGACACAGGGCTGGAGAAACTTTTTTATTCCTTTTTTCTTAAATGTACCTTATTCTCTATCCTCTCTTCTGTTCATCTGGTTCAATTTTCTAATCTTTCACAAAAAGCTGATAAGAGATTTAGCCAGGTGCGATTGTTCGTTCCTGTAATCCCAGCACTTGGGAGGCTGAGGCAGGAGGATTGCCAGAAGTTTGAGGCCAGCTTGGGCTATATAGTAAGTTCAAGGCTAGCCTGAACTACATAGTGAGATCCTTTCTCAAAACACAAAAAAAAATAATAATAAAAAAGACTGTAACAGCATCCCCTTTAGAATGGAGGAATGTGGCACTACAGATAAGGTGGAAGTAGATTCTGTTGCATGTACATATTTGCTCTGTGGTTGGTTAATTGACTTGCACCTTGAACATTTTGCTAGGCCTTTTCAGTTTGATTATTTAGGCCAAGGCACATTGCTAAAATTTTACACTGAATCCTTCTAGGTGTAGGAAGTGGTTGGTTTTAGTTTGTGTGAGTGTGTATATGTCTTCAGTTTTACTGGTGAAAACTCCCATGTATAAATCTACACATTTCAGTGTACTCCGTTCTAATGGTAAAAATGAAATGTTTTAATTCCATGTCTTAGTGATTGCTTAATTGCTTAGTATTATCAGCACTGTTACTGTTGTTTCACTAAAGCATGCTCCTAAGGAGTGCAGTGTTTGTTATTGCCAACTACAAGTTCCAGTGATCTGGCCCCTGCTACCTCCTCTCTCTCCAATTTTCTGCCGTGCTTCTGTACCATTTTCTTCATCAGTGCACTGTTTTGCCATACTGACCGTGTTATTCGTCAAGTAAATCACATTTTTCCTGATCCAAAGGCTGCACATGCTATTCTTTTCTTTAGAATGCCTTCCCCTAGGCCTGCATGGCTTACTACCTCACTTATTTGCTTGACACTTTCTTTGGTTCATTGAGCTTCACAAAGGTTCTTAGAATGACTAGAAATCTCCCCTGATTTTAAAAAAAATGTATTCCTCCTCCCTAAAGGCACTTTACCTCCCCACAATCCTTTCTTCCCTCTCCAACCTAGTTAAATTTCTAGATTTTCACAAAAAAGCTGGGAATCATCCTCAAGGGCTTTGCTTCTTTCTTAGAATTGAGCTAGCTTGAGTCAATTTCTGTGCCTGCAGCTAAAAGAAAATATAGTGAAATGAGTCAGGAGCTTTCTGTTTTTCTATTGATAGCTCTATATTTTTTTAAGGCAATGTCACTTTGTTTTGTTTACAAATATATTGAATATCTGTCCAGATTACTATTTTGTTATATTTTGTGAATTTCCTTGTCTATTTTGCTTGCTTGTTCCCTCAGACAAAATTTATTATTTTATTAATGTTGCCAAAAGCTAAGTAAAATAGCAATTATATTAATAAAATGTTTTATGAAAAAATATTTTTGCTGTATTGTCTTTTTGCCAGTAACATGATATGCTTTTAGTTTTGTTACCTCCTGCTGGTTTTATTGTTTAGTCTTCATTGCTCAGGACTTCTAGACAGTGATACATATGATGGATAATGGAGTTTTTGTTCTTAATGAGAAATGACTTACTATTAAAGTTAATGTGGGCTGGGGATGTAGCTTAGTGGTAGAGCACTTGCCTAGTATATGCTAAGGTCCTAGGTTCAATCCCCAGCACCACAAAGAAAACAAAATTAATGAGTGTATTTCTTAAAGAATTTCTCTATTTCCACTTTTAGCATCTTTAAAGAGGATTGCTTTATTTTATTGGATAGTTTGCAAGCTTTATTTTTTCAATAAGGAAAGAATTTAAGACATTACCTAATTCTGTTTACAATTTTTGCTTAATCCCAAATATTTTGATGCATATTTTAATTTAAATTTTTTATTCTCATTACTTTTTGGAGGGTAAATTAATTTAAAAGATTTAAAATTTTGTAGTCTTAAGTGGCTTATGCCATGCTAGAGATCAGCACAGGGGCTCACACATGGTTAGGCAAGGGCCCTATCACTGAATTGCACTCCTACCTCCTAAGCAGTTTAATTTATAATTTTACCAAGAATTTCCTTTGGAGCTTTGAGGATATGTGTTTTAAGTGTGTATGAGTATGTGTATACAGTGGCGTATCTAAAAATACCCTTTTCAAATTACATGGGTTATTAAAAATTTTAAATTTCTGTGGTAAAGGTAAATTTTAATTACAGGACCCCCCTTCAGTTAATGTAGTATAAAAGATAAAGGTATGGTAATTCCTAGTTATAAAACTTTGAAACCAAACTGAGTGTCAAAGTTGTTATACTCAATGTTAACTATATTGAGTTATCAAACGTAATGTAGGCTCTATGGCAGTACCAAATCTTGATTATAATGTAGAATGAGAAAACGACATAAGAAATTCTATATATTTTTTATTTTGTTACTACACATTTGCAAGCATGCAGTTTCTAATCATCATGGGGAGTGGTTACATGTACATATTACAGCTTGTTTTGTTTAAACCCCCTCTCCCCCCAATGCTGTGGTTACAGGTGTGCGTCACCACCACACTCAGCTGAAAGTTGTATTAATTACACATAGTAATAGCTATTAAAAAAAGAACATGCATTCAGGAGGCTGAGGCAGGAGGGTTGCTGCGAGTTCAAGGCTAACCTGAACTAATAGCGAGACTTGTCTCAATACAAAGGGGGTTCTGGGGATTTAGCTCAGTGTTTCCACTGCCTGCCTTGCAACTGCAAGGACCCAAGTTCAATCCCCGGTACCAAAAAAAAAATTCATACTCAAAAATACAAAGGGGGAGTAAAAAACCATGGGCCTGGGCTGGGGATGGAGCTCTGGTAGATACTTCCCTAGAATGTGCAAGGTCCTGGGTTCAATTCTCTACAGCAAAAGAAACAAGAATTTACTTGATTGTATAGTGATTATTGCTTTTACCATCCAAATATTATTTTGCCTTTAAAATGTATTCATTATATGAAGAGAAGAAAGTGGGTAAATTGATTCTATTTCAGTGAGTAACAGGGTTACTCTTTCCTTCTTGGTTATATTTTTCTATTTTTTTTCCACCATTAAGTTTATTGGCACATTTTAAGTATAAAATACATTTACATACATCACTGGGACCTTGTACCATTACATGAGTATCTTGGTTCTTATTTTTTTCCCCCTTCCCCTGCCCTCCCCTCACCCCCTCCAACCCTCCCCACTTGCAAAGATTCCGTTTCCATTTTTTTCCCTTTCTAATATTTTTCCCGTCTTTCCCCTCCGCCCACCTCCCCCGCTGCCCTAGAGCTTTATTTCCTACTACACAATATGAATTACACATTTTAAAATTAAAATATCAAGACCTAGGAGAAATTATCACAGATTTTACAGAATTTAAAAGGATATAGAGAGCATATTTTGAAAATCTGTTTTGAAATAAATTTGACAACTTCTAAGAAGTACTTTGGAAGACTAATGAAACTAACTCTGGAAGAAATATAAAATTTGAATAGCACCTATTAAAGAAAGTATATTCCTAGCTTCAAAACCTACCTGTATGACACCAACAGGCTTGTATACATTTTAACTGATAAATTATATCTAACATTTAAAGCAGAAAAAAGAAGGAACACTTCTCCCCTCATTTTAGGAAATCAACGTTATGCTAATCCTAAAACTGGATAAAGATAATAGAAGAAAAA